CATGCACCAATTTCACCATGTATGAAACCGGTTTCATCATGCACCCATTTCATAATCATTTTCACTTACTTCATGCATCATTTTCACCATGTATAAAACAAGTTTCATGAATATTTTTTTTATTCTATTACTGATTTTATCGATTTATTAATCTAATAACTTACGATTTTCATGAATCTTGGCAATAATAAACCGAGACACAATATAACAAAATCCAATTTTTAATATTATAATTTAATTAAATATTTAAATGTTACCATTTATATTTTTTTTTATTGTGTTACTTTAATTAAAATTTATTAATAACTTCCATATTTAATAGAAAACAATGGAAATGACCAATATACCCTTAATGATTAAATTTAATTAAAAAAATGGAATTTTTCTATTGATAGAAATTAGTTTACACGGTTTCTAAGAATTGCACGGTTTTCATTTGAACGTGCCTCTCTCTATATATATAAAAGGAGATAAGTTCTTTTATTAACTCAATTTTTAATGTTAACTTTGTGGATCAATCAGGAATGGACCTAGAAATTTTTTCAAACAGTGACAGTGCTTGAGCTTGATTATAAGAAAAAATATAGGGAATTTTTTTTCAAACGGTGACACCATTTGACTATAAAAAACAAATGTACATAATTTTTTTTTCAAATGGTGACACCATTTTACTAAGAAAATGACACTAATACAACGAACTTGGGTCTGGGGTAGAATAAAAGTCTTGCAAACCAACTCTACCAAATAAAACTTGTTCTCAATGTAGTTTCAAAATACATACGATGACACACAACAAATTAATACGGTTGCACCTTTCACGAACCTAATTTTTTTTTACTCTTCAACGGAAGAATAATATGGTGGCACGTGTCACCGTATGCACCACTATAGGTCCATCCATGATATCAATAGTTTGTGGTAGGTTTCATTATAATAATGATTAGAGGATGGAGTACAAGTGGGTAAATTTTACATAGATGTAAGTTATATTAGTTGTTACAATTTAATTGTTACTTGATTTTTGTGTTTATCATCAATTCATAAAAGTACATAATGTTTTATCATTAAATAAAAATATACAATACGAGTGAATAAATCACATTCAAATGTGAGATACGATTTTTACACTTGAAACTTCACAACAAATTGTTGTGAATGTAAAAAGAAACCGAATCTTCATAGCAAAAATATTGTGAAGGTTACCTTCAAATGTTTTGTTGTAAATTTTCAAGTGTAAAAATCGTATCTCACGAAAACAGTCTTATTTTACATGATTTCAAGTGTAAGAAATATTGTGATAAAAATAATATTGTTGTTAGAAAGGGCAAATTGACATATGTTTATGGGCTTTGATTCCTATCTTTATTTGAGTGGAATTCATGTTGTATGATTTTAGGATCATCATGTCTTCATGTTCTTGCCTTTCTATTTCATCATTTCTATCTACATTTTCTTTTCTTTTTAAAATATATTTTTTAATAAAATTATATATATATATATATATATATATATATAGGGTATATTTCTTTTACAACCTTGTGTATTTGTACAACCTTTGCAACCAAATTAATTGAGATATTTATAGAAATAAAAGGAGTTCATTTATTATAATTTGAATATTTATGGAATATAAATAGAGTTTATTAATTATGATTAATACTTTATATTATGAAACAATCAAAACTTCTATGAAATCACATATTAATCAAATAAAATGGACGGTTGAGATTGAGTTGTATTGATTGCATAAATGTCAATGGTTGTAAAATAACCATTATATATATATATATATATATATATATATATATATCATATTAATATAATGTGAACTGTTACAAGTTGCGATATAGTAATATTATTCTTTAATCATACAATAATAAAATTAAATTTTATCATATAATAATAATAATATTATTATATTATATAATAACGAAATTCATTAATATAATATTTCATTTAGCTAAACCCCCATCCGCTAAAAGCTTTTTGTTTCCAAAAATATTTTTTTTAGCTGTAAAAAAAATAATGATTAGTTTTTTTTCAAAACTTTTCTCTTAAATGTGAGAGGAAAGTAAAGAAAAAAAATGAAATTATAATTATTTAATAAAATTACAAAACTACCTGATCTTTCATTCTAAATGATATAATATTACAGAAAATATTAGTAAAAATGACATATTTCATTTCTTTTTAAATTTTTATAAAAAACTATAATGTGATAACCGGTTCTTGTCTAATCACATTTTATTGTAAAAACGAAGGTGTTTGAACGATATTGTTGCATTTTGTTGTTTTTAATTGGTTTTTTACCATTATATTTTATTCTTATAAATATATAAATTAATAGTTAATAATTATATATTATACTAATTAATTTTATTTCATTTTTTGT